AAATTCTGTCTGCTACAGTATACATCACTATGCTGCTTTAATCGATTTTAGGTAATAAGTCAAAACATTTTCATCATAAAATATCTTGACCAAACACAGTGGCTGTAATGGAGAAAACCACTCAGTTACAACTACACATTTTTGCTTTGTCATGTTAGCAGTTTCAGCTGTGAACATGTGAGCTAATGTTAACTGACCGAGAGAGAATGTCAGCAGTGTGAGGAAACTCTGCAGTCTTTCAGAGTCGTATTTTAGTGCATTTAAGTGAGAATGGGAAGTTGTCAGACTCTGTGTGTACAGTGATGCCACATATGTATATATATGTGTATAAATATTTATAAACATCATTATAAAAGACAAACATCCATGTACTGAAATAGAGACATATGTTTCTTAATTTGCAACAATTTATGCACTTCTGTAACAGAAGTTGTATCTTTTCGTACATGGATGCATGAATATAAGATTACATGTAAAATGTATGTACTCAACTGTCAATACAGACTTTGTAATAATAAAATTAATACTTAAGTATACTTTACATGCAATATCTGCATTGCATCTAACATGAAATGTCATTGTTCATACTTTACCAAGCTGATATATGTTTAATAATGCAGTCAGTACAGTATGAGCAGTCTTTATTTTTCATAAACTGCTGAGTTAATGAGAATCGATAAGTGACATCGATAATGGAATCAGAGTCTGACTGCTACAGCAGCATCATCAATGATCTCACCAAGTTAGACATTTGGCAGAATTTCCTGATACTTTTCCAACAAAAGACTAAAAATGACTAAAAATATCTGCTTATTGATTAATGATGAAAATGCTTTCCAGATGGTCTCAGTGTAGACACTGTTCAGCACAGCTTGTGCGTCATATCCACAGGTTATCACACTTATCACCAACTTCTGAGCACTAGTTTTCTTACTTGATATTTTAACGATTTCTGGCTATGAACTGTATGTTTAATATTTCACAGACTGCAAGATTAAGACCTCCCATATCCAACAATTCAGTTTTCTTAATCCCAGTCTATAACACTGTTCTGTC